TGTTTTGAATCCAATAAGTATTAACGGGAAATTGCACCTTCACCACTAAATTGCTCTCTTGTGTAGTGCCACAAGGATCAATTCTCTCTCTGGTCCTATTCAACATCTACACGGAGCCACGGTGGACTGGTCAGACATGGACTCAAGTGTCAGCAATATGCAGATGACACAGCTCTACCTATTCTTCACTACATACAACCACACTGCTTCCACCAACATGGCCAATGCTTGGATAAGGTCAGCTCATGGATGAAGAGTTGGTTGAAGGTGGGCACATGAAAATATTCTTAAGAGTTTGCAGTCATGGTGCAAGTCTCCTTTGGTTGAAGGTTCCCACCCACAATTGGTCAATTCAGTCTGTAGCTTAGGATTGCTCCTGGGGCTAAGCTCTCACATAGCAAACAATATTTTCTACCATCTCCAATTGGCTAGAAAATCCATCCCATGCTGGTAAACGATGACTTGGCCTCAGTTATTCATGCCTTCATCACCTCTTGGATGCACAACAGCAATGCACTAGACCTGGATATGAATTCTTCAGAGCTTAGGAAACAGAAAAGCAACTCATACCCCATCCTTCTCTGGTACAGAATGCTGCAGGACATCTCCGCAACACTGGCCACTGTGAACACATCAAATTTGACTCTCTGCAACAAACCCCAATCTCCCCACTCCCAGGGGTATTGTGCGTCCCCCCCCCCAATTCCGGTCTCCACTTCCTACACTGGCTTCCCACAGAATACCAAATCAAGAAAGAACTAGATAAGTTCATGGAAGATATGTCCATCAGTGGCTATTAGCCAGGATGGGCAGGGTTGGTATCCCTAGCTTCTGTTTGTCAGAAGCTGGGAATGGGTGACAGGGGATGGATCACTTGATGATTATCTGTTCTATTCATTCCTCTGGGGCACCTGGCATTGGCCACTGTTGGAAGAAAAGATACGGGGCTAGATGGACCTTTGGTGTAACCCAGTATGGCCATTCTTATGTTCAAGGTCTCAATTCTTATGTTCAAAGCGCTCAATGGCCTGGGTCCAGAAAATCTAGAAGATTGACTAACGCTCTAGCATGAAGACTGTGACTGATTACTTTGCACCTTTGGCACAACGGGACTTTCTACAATAAGGGTAAAGCTTATCTGTGCAGGAAGCAGGGCTTTCTCAGGGGCCAGTCTGAGGGCAAGTCTGCACTACAAAATTAAGTTGACCTAAGTTACATTGATGTACAGACTCTGCAGTAATTGAATCTGTTTTACATGTCCACACTATGCTCCTTGTGTCGGCAGTGCGCATCCTCACCAGGAGCACTTGTACCGATTTAACTGCCAGTGTGGGATGTTGTGGAACGGTTTCTGAAAGGGAGCAACTGGCGATGTAAGCAGCACAGTGTCTACACTAACACTGCCTCAACCTAACTACATTGGTTTAAGCGCTACGCCTCTCACAGAGGTGGAGTTAAGTTGGTGTAGTGGACAAGTTACATCAGTGGGAGCTACATTGTAGTGTAGATGCTTACAGAGTTAGGTCGATGTAAGTTGCCTTATGTTGACCTAATTCTCTAGTGTAGACCAGGCCTGAGACTGTGAAATGACTTCCATGGGAACTAAGGACCATTACAAACCTCACCACCTTTCACTCTAAGTGCAAGGTGCATTTCTTTGATCTTACCTTCTCTAACATAAACATATAGCACCGTGTTTGTATATGTATGTGTATCTATTACTATTAAAATAAAATCCAAAGCAACACATTTCACTCCCACACTTCTCCCCCAAGGGAGAAGATGAGATAATAAACTGTGATATGTCAGTCAAGTTGCTTAATGCACTACTGAAAGATTCTCAGATACTACAGCGATGCATACAATATAAGAATCTAGTAGTAGTGTGACGTAAAGTGATGTGAACTGCACTTGGGCACTTCAGATTAATTATTGGTTTGTTATTAATTTATTGTACAGAACTGCTTGTTCAGATATAGTATGATAATGGGTGTTCCCACTAGGATGAAGTAGTAAGACTTTAAATATCTCTTGAATTTAAATGTAAGGGTTAGACATGACAGCTCTGCATTCTGAACCCATCTCACTACCAATGCCTGACACCAAAGACAGTGCTGATCTGTGATGATTTGGGAAACCTATGTATAACTTTTGAATTTTGTAAAAAGCAACAGAGGGTCCTGTGGCACCTTTAAGACTAACAGAAGTATTGGAGCATAAGCTTTCGTGGGTGAATGCCCACTTCATCAGACGCATTTTGAATTTTGGTTGATATTATGAAGTTGTTACTATGAAAATAGCTGTGTCATTGACTGCCCTTAGATAAATGTGTACACCACTACGGGCTGGGAAGGGTTGTGTCATATCTTCCCCCAACCAGGGATAAGGGAGAGCTGTCAACTTTCAGGCCTGTACTCTGACCACACAATAGTTTATGCTAAAGAGGATGCCCTAGTTGGGAAACTGGTTCAGCCAAGTTGGTCTGCAGGGATGGAGGTTTGGAGCAGTGAAAGTTGCCAAAGGCAGAACGAAGAAGCCAGATATTGTTGGAAGTAGGGGGACATATACAAAATGGGGAAGACACACACAAAGTTTGGAGATCAGTGTGGTAGGGGATGGACTGGCTAAGATCAGAGGAGACTCCATGTTTCAGAACCCAAGCCATGCACTGCAACAAAAGAACACTGACCCTATTCCCAACTCAAAGAATGCTCTGGAGTGGTGAGAAAGCTGAGGCAGGGAAATGTGTGCAGGGTTTATTATTTTTATATAGATATGTGTATTCCTCATGCTATTAGATAAAGAGCAATGCTGTGTTTGAGTCCTGTGTAAAGTCTGTATGCGCTGTGTCCTACACTTCAGCGTATGCCCCCTGGAAGGCTTAAACTGTGATCCATAAGGCTCACACCTTTGGTGGGATTTTGGGAGAGGGTGTATCTAAGCTATGCAGGAGCCTGAGGGTCAGCACTAGTTCCAGGGTGCTGTATAGTAGGCCACAGCATTTAAATTCCCAGGAGGAGGTACTAGAAAAAGGAGCTGCACTCTGAGCATGTGCCTAGGCACCCAAGCCCAGGCCAGTGCCTAGACTCTATTCAGACTCCAGAGGCTTAAAACACACAGGATCCAGGAAGTTGGTCTCCTCATAGCAGTTGAGTGAGTGGCCAAGTGGACTTGTGACATGATCATCCACTTCACCTAAGTCAAGTAATGGCTGCTGTGTAGCAGCTTGACCACAAGGGAAGGTGTAGCCAAGAACTCCTTAGTTCTGTCATCCCCCTCCCCATTCCCTCTGCCACTGGCTCTCTCCTGCCTAGCAAAATTGTTATTGGGGAAATTAGGTTTCGGTTTTGTAATGACCCAACCATTCCCAGTCTTTATTCAGGCCTAATCTGATGGTGTCCAGTTTGCAAATTAATTCCAGTTCTGCAGTTTCATGCTGGAGTCTGTTTTTGAAGTTTTTTTGTTGAAGAATTGATCTCCTACTGGTTTTTGAATGTTATGATTCCTGATGTCAGATTTGTGTCCATTTATTCTTTTGCGTAGAGACTGTCTGGTTTGGCCAATGTACATGGCAGAGGGGCATTGCTGGCACCAGTGCCGGCTCTAGAATTTTTGCCGCCCAAGGCAAAAACAATTTTGGCCGCCCCCCCCCCCCAATCCGCCCCTTCCCCAAATCCCCAGCCCTGCCTCCTCCCCCCAGGCTCTCAAGTCTGGGAGGGAGGGAGAGCAGCGGCGCACGAAACGGCCGCTCGGGATCTCCCCCGCCCTCCCAGGTTTGAGAGCGTGGGAGGGAGGGGGAGACTCCGAGCGGCGGCGGCGCGGGCGCCGCTTCTCCCCCTCCCTCCCAGGCTCTCAAGTCTGGGAGGGAGGGGGAGCAGCGGCGCACGAAACGGCCGCTCGGGATCTCCCTCGCCCTCCCAGATTTGAGAGCCTGGGAGGGAGGGGGAGACTCCGAGTGGCCGCGGCGCGGGCACCGCTTCTCCCCCTCCCTCCCAGGCTCTGAACGGTTGTTTCGCGCGCCGCGGCCGCTTGGGATCTCCCCCTCCCTCCCAGGCAGCAGCAGCGGAGGTGAGCTAGGGCGGCCGTGGCACATTTTTAGGGGCGGCATTCTGGCGCCGGCCATGCCGCCCCTAAAAATGTGCCGCCCCAAGCACCAGCTTGTTTGGCTGATGCCTAGAGCCGGCCCTGGCTGGCACATGATGGTATATATCACATTGGTAGATGTGCAGGTAAACAAGCCCCTAGGAGAACACTTCAATCTCCCTGGTCACTCTGTGCCATAGAATGATAGCATTATGCCCCCCTCAAGGTGCCAGGGCAGGTGGTGACAGAATTCCTAATGGAGCTGAATGTTCCCTCAAATATCACAGGTCCTCAAAGATATTAAATGGAATTGCAATGTCTGTCACACACCCTTTTGGGGGCATGAGGCAGGAGAGAGGAATTTTACTAATGCTCCCTTAGGGATATCTCAAAGGGTGTAACTGAGCAGTTAAGGTGCTGCACTACAATCTCAATGATCATGGATTCAAGTCTCACACAGAAAGGTCTGCTCCAGTTCACCCAGCTGCAAAATGGGTACTTGATCCATCAGGTTAAGCCAAGCCAAGGTGGTTTGACGTGATTCTGGCCACGTCACACTTGTCTGTATGATTGACTACGAAACTGAGGTGTCTTAGCTGTGTCAGCCTCATCAGCCATTAGCTCAATGGAACTTTAACTGGGGCCATGCTGCGGGAATAGCAGGAGGAAATGTTTTCCCATGCTCCCTGAAGGGTCACGCTACGGGAGTAGCAGGAGGAAAAGTTTTCCCACGCTCCCGTAAGGCCATGCTGCGGGAAGTAGGATGGAGAGTTTTCCCATGCTCCCTTATGGCCATGCTGCGGGAGTATCGGGAGAGAGAGTTTTCCCACGCTCCCTTAGGGCCATGCTGCGGAAGTAGCGGGAAGGAGAGTTTTCCCATGCTCCCTTAGCCGCCAGTCATAGGGTGGCGCGCGGTGCATGTCGGTCCCGAGGCGGACTGTCCCCTCGCTGTGGGGCACTCGGAGTCTCGCCTGACGCCATGTTCCTTTGGGCCGCTGCCGCCCGGGGCCTCTAGCTGCTGCCGCCCCTGCGTGTCCCCGCAGCCTGTAGAGCCGCAGTCGCCGGCCGGGAGCAGAGCCCGGCCATGTCCGTCAAGGAGGGGAGCAAGGAGCCGCCGCTGCCTCTCGGCACCAGCGACCGGGCCGTTAAGGGTGAGCCCCGTCAGCGCCGCAACCGGTCCTCTGCGGAGTTAACGACACGGCTGCGGGGCGTGGGGCGGGATGAGAGAGAGAGGGTGGGGAGGCGTGTGTGTACGGGGGGCTGTGTGTGAGGGGGGTGCGTGCATAGGAGATGAGGGGCTGTATGAGTGGGGGGGTGTGTGCGATTGTGGGGGGTTGAGAGAGAGGGGGACTGTATATGTCTGAGCATGGGGGGCTAGGCATCAGTGTATGGGTGTCCCCGGTGTGTATTGTGGGATGTATCTATAAAGAGTACTCTGGAGGCTTGCGCACTGTAGACAGGCTCCTCTCTGTGTGTGTGCACGGTCTCCTCCACATGAGATCCTTGCAATGGTCTTTTGCTGTCTTAATAGTCAGTCCCTTCTCTCCAGCGTGCACCCTGACAGAACAGAGGAGGAGGGAGCATGGAGTAGTTGCCTCTTTTGCTATTGGTCACTGCTTTCAGGTTTCTAATTCTGATGGATTAGTGGCCAAAGTGCTGCAGGATGTGTAGACCCTTTTTTCAGGGTGCAACAGGTCTGTTCTTTTAGTGTTTTTACAAAAACAGACCTTCTTTATAATAGCATCGTTTTAAAATAGTAGCAACACGCATAAATTGTGGATTGTCAGGAGAAGACTGAGTGACCCATTAAGAACTTTTCCAACTTCAATTTGCATGAATCATATAGAACAAGATTTTTATTTTATGGTCTTCTATGTTTGATAATTAAACTGTATTTACCTGTGGTGGGGTTATTTATTTGAAGTGGCTTATTATTTTGTGCTTGTACAGTTTCTACGTAATTTAAGAGTTGCTGTTGTATGCAGCAATTTGTTTTGAACACTGGCATTCTTAGAAACACATTGTCTAAAATATGCTTTGAAACTACAGCCCTGAAGATTCAAGTTTTACATAATGGGGAAGCTTGAGAAATTAAAGGGACATATTTGTTTTCAAAGCATTGGACTCCCATAGTACATTTTGTAACTCAGCGTGTTTTCCAGAGTGCTTTACTTGCAATAAGGTGGTGTTCATTTTCAATTGCTTAACCTATTGATTTGTTTGAACAGTTGCAAAAAATAAAAGTAAAAAATACTACAAATGAGCATTCTGCCCTGTCAGTGGCTCTCAGAACTGTTAACACAGTGTTGTAATAATGCATAGTGCGGAGGCTTGTAATATTTTTTACACTTTGCAATTTGTTGCATGAAATAATTAGGTTAGGCCATTCAGACGATACAGGAGAACTAACAGTGAGTGGTTATTTCAAACTGCACTGGAAAACCTGCTGATTTCCAAACTCTCAAACAGTCCATGTTAATCATAACCCATGCAGTTAGCTATTCCAAAATCCAAGTTAAGACTGTTATTTTATACTTACAGAATTGTGTGCTGGGGATGCAATCTGGTTTTGACCCTGTCTATGTTGCATATAGAACCACTGTAAGTGTAACCAGGTTTTGATAGCTTCTTGATAGTAATTTGATAGCAATGACATCTAATATGGTTAACTGCCCACACAGGAGCATTTTCCTGATCCAACCATATGTTAATTCTGTTGGCTTGTCCACAGCTACCATGCTGCACAGTTATGTTGTGTCAGTGCCTTCTGGAGAAAATCTGGACAGTTAACCCATACTATCTCTGCTGCTGGTGTGAGGGGCAGAAAATGGTGGGCTTTTTTCACAAGGTGCAATGTGATTTGGGATACTTTTACAGCAGAGAGCTGGAAGGTAAGATCATTGGCTACAGTAGATGCTAAGTGATCCCATCTATGGGTATGTCTACACTACGGGATTAATTCGAATTTTGGAAACAGATTGTATAAAGTCGAATGTTTGCGGCCACACTAAGCACATTAATTCGGTGGTGTGCGTCCATGTACTGGGGCTAGCTTCGATTTCTGGAGCATTGCACTGTGGGTACCTATCCCATAGTTCCCACAGTCTCCTCCGCCCATTGGAATTCTGGGTTGAGATCCCAATGCCAAAAACATTGTCGCGGGTGGTTCTGGGTACATCCTCCCCCTCCCTCTGGGAAAGCAATGGCAGACAACCATTTTGCGCCTTTTTTCCTGGGTGAACAGTGCAGACGCCATACCATGGCAATCATGGAGCCCGCTCAGCTCAAGACAGCAGTCATGAACATTGTAAATACCTGCGCGTTATCGTGCAGTTTATGCTGAACCAGAACCTGCAAAACCAGGCGAGGAGAAGCAGGCTACGGCAGCGCAGTGATGAGAGTGATGAGGACATGGACCTGGAATTCTATCAAACCGCGGGCCCCGGTGCTTTGGAGATCATGCTGTTAATGGGGCAGGTTATAGCCGTGGAACACCGATTCTGGGCCCAGGAAACAAGCACAGACTGGTGGGACCGCATAGTGTTGCAGGTGTGGGACGATTCCCAGTGGCTGCGAAACTTTCGCATGCGTAAGGGCACTTTCATGGAACTTTGTGACTTGCTTTCCCCTGCCCTGAAGCGCCAGAATACCAAGATGAGAGCAGCCCTCACAGTTGAGAAGCGAGTGGCGATAGCCCTGTGGAAACTTGCAACGCCAGACAGCTACCGGTCAGTCAGGAATCAATTTGGAGTGGGCAAATCTACTGTGGGGGCTGCTGTGATGCAAGTAGCCAAAGCAATCACTGAGGTGCTGCTACGAAAGGTAGTGACTCTGGGAAATGTGCAGGTCATAGTGGATGGCTTTGCTGCAATGGGATTCCCTAACTGTGGTGGGGCGATAGATGGAACCCATATCCCTATCTTGGCACCGGAGCACCAGGGTAGCCAGTACATAAACCGCAAGGGGTGCTGCAAGCCCTGGTGGATCACAAGGGACGTTTCACCAACATCAACGTGGGCTGGCCGAGAAGGGTTCATGATGCTTGCGTCTTCAGGAACATTACTCTGTTTAAATGGCTGCAGCAAGGGATTTACTTCCCAGACCAGAAAATAACCGTTGGGGATGTTGAAATGCCTATCGTTATCCTTGGGGACCCAGCCTACCCCTTAATGCCATGGCTCATGAAGCCATACACAGGCAGCCTGGACAGTAGTCAGGACCTGTTCAACTACAGGCTGAGCAAGTGCAGAATGGTGGTAGAATGTGCATTTGGATGTTTAAAGGGTCACTGGCGCACATTACTGACTCGCTCAGACCTCAGCCAAACTAATATTCCCATTGTTATTGCTGCTTGCTGTGTGCTCCACAATCTCTGTGAGAGTAAGGGGGAGACCTTTATGGCGGGGTGGGAGGCTGAGGCAAATCGCCTGGCCGCTGATTACGTGCAGCCAGACACGAGGGCGATTAGAAGAGCACACCAGGAAGCGCTGCGCATCAGAGAAGCTTTGAAAACCAGTTTCATGACTGGCCAGGCTACGGTGTGAAAGTTCTGTTTGTTGAAAACCCACCCCCTTGATTGACTCATTCTCTGTAAACAAACCACCCTCCCCCCTTTGATCACAGCTTGCTTTCAAAGGAAATAAAGTCACTATCATTTAAAAATCATGTATTCTTTATTAATTGATTATAAACATAGGAAGAGAACTGATACGGTAGCCCGGGTGGGGTTTGGGAGGAGGATAGGAGGGAAGGAAAAGGCCTTCCCCCCTCCCCCCCCCGCGTTCTTGGGCGTCTGGGTGAGGAGGCTATGGAACATGGTGAGGGGGGAGGGAGGTTATACAGCGGCTGCAGCGGCACTCTGTGTTCCTGCTGCAGTTCCTGAAGCTCCACCAGATGCCGGAGCATGTCCTTTTGATCACGCAGCAGCCCCAGCGTTGCAGCCTGCCACCTCTCATCTCGAGTGTCCCTCATGACCTCATGTTCACTGGCATCTTTCCTGTACTTTGATACCGTGTCCTTCCACTCATTCAGATGAGCTCTTTCATTGCGGGTGGATTCCATGATTTCAGAGAACATTTCGTCTCGCATCCTTTTTTTTCGCCGCCTTATCTGAGATAGCCTTCGGGATGGAGGAGAGGGAGGCTTGAAAAATTTGCAGCTGCGGGAGGGAGGGGAGAAAAGGTAGAGAAGTATTTAAAAAGATACATTTTACAGAACAACGCTTATACTCTTTCACAGTGAACAACACTATTCACATTACATAGCACATGTGATTTCAGTACAAGGTCGCATTTTGCATCTTAATATTGAGTGCCTGCGGCTTTGGTGTTAGAGAGCACAGACGCAGGTCCGGGCAACAGAATTCGGCTTGCATGCGGCCATGGTAAGCCATTGTCTTTCGGCTCCTTTCCCACATAGCAAGCAAAGCCCGTTGAGTGCTGTGGTTTTCCTGTTAACGTGCAGCAGCAGAAACCAAACTAACCCCCCCCCCCCCCATCCAAGTCTGTGGGATGATCGCTTTACCCCTCCCCCCACCGCATGGCTGGTATCAGGGAAGATCCCTCCCCCTCCCGGCTAACTGCAGGGAAGGATTTCTCAGCCACAGGCAAACAGCCCAGTAGGAATGTCCACCTCTGTCCCCTTAATTAAATTCCCATATTTCAACCAGGTTACCATGAGCGATATCACTCTCCTGAGGATAACACAGCGAGATAAAGAACGGATGTTGCTTGAATGCCAGCAAACACCGGGACCATATGCTGCCAGGCTTTGTCATGCAATGATACCAGATTACTTGCTACTAGCATGGCGTGGTCAAGTGTCCTACCATGGAGGACGGAATAAGGCTGCACTGCCCAGAAATCTTCTGGAAAGGCTTTTGGAGTACCTCCAGGAGAGCTTCATGGAGATGTCCCTGGAGGATTTTCGCTCCATCCCCAGACACGTTAACAGACTTTTCCAGTAGCTGTACTGGCCGCGAATGCATCCCAGGTCTTCAGGGCAAATTAATCATTAAAAAACGCTTGCTTTTAAACCATGTTTTATATTTACAAAGGTACACTCACCGGAGGTCCCTTCCATGGCCTCATTGTCTGGGGGTTGGGAGGGTACTTCAGTCAGGCTGAGAAAAAGATCCTGCCCGTTGGGGAGA